TTGTTTTTAATTACCCACCTAGTCTAGTTTGTGCTCCCCATACACTCGTGGCTGTGGTGCCATGTACTGAAATACCGTGGTCAACCTAGTAGGGGCCGCACCGTAAAGATAATTGATTCTCTCTCCATGAGAAGTCATCAGCTAGGGGCGGGGACCCATGAGCCCCTTCAGCCTCCATGCTCGATTGTGGGCTGCCTTGATCTCCTGCAGGTGTTCTGCCAGCAGCCACAGTTACTGTGAGTTCTTGGGTGCAGCAGTCCCGCATGACATGTCCAGAAGACCCCATTTCATTCTGGTCCCCCGTGACATATGGCTTTACAGTCTTTCTGACCCTCTTCCTCCATGGTCCCTGAATTTTGGGGTGGAAGGGGTGCGATGCAGGTGTCACACTGGTGACTGAGCGCTCCCTAGGCACTTACTCTCTATACTTTGGCCAGTTGTGATATTCTGAATTAACTGTCATTCCCTGTGTGATTAGGGCTGAGATTAGCACTGCGCTATGGGTATAGAGATATGAATTTAGAGAGCAGTTGATGTCCCTTTAGCAAAATAATAACAGTAGGTTCAACCCTAGGGCCTAAGAGCTTACCCAAAATGGATGCTTGATGAGATTTACAGTATCAGGCATGTGGTTCTTCTTGTGGAGCAAGCCTTAAATCCTGTTTCTTAAAAAAGAGGTGGGTTACCCATAAAGCATTTGGGCCACTGTTGCACCCAGGGGCATGACTTGCCAAGCCAGTCATTAGTGTGCCTCATGGAGGTCACAGCTGGGTTGATTACTTTTTCCTTCCACAGCCTACATCGCTCCCTCTGGTACCATGAAGGTTAGCCAGCAGGGAGGAGGAACCTTCCCAATCAGTTTCAACTTGATTTCTCCATGCCCCATGAAGAAAGTGTGTGGTATCTTTAGCAATAGAGTCTTACCATAAAGTTCTGCTGCTTTAGGGGATCTCTGGTACAGACTCCAGGGGTGGTGTTCCATGCCTGGCATTGATTGTTTTATTTGGCATCCTATGGCTTTTGAGAGGGGTATTGTTTACTGTGTAGAGTAACAATTTTATATGAAAATGCATGTAAGATAGATAAGATAGATAGATAGATAGATAGATAGATAGATAGATAGATAGATAGATAGATAGATAACATAAAAATAGTACATTTCTGTGTGGCTTTTTGAAACATCTTTAGTGTTAGTACATTTTCCTCCAACTTTCTCCTCTGACTTTCCTTCCCAATCCTCTCTCTATTTAAATTTCCCTACCCATGGCTCCTCTTCTCCTTCATATCACTTGTGTTGAGATTTTTTTTTTTAAACCTAGAACAGGAATCAATAAACTTTTTCTTAAAGATGCTAGTATTGAGCTAGGTATGATGGCACATTTTGGAGGTAGAGGCAGGAGAATCACAAGTTCAAGGCCAATAATTCCAGCTATACAGTGAGCTCATGGCTAGTCCTGGCTTAAAAGAAGGCTTTGGTAGTAAATACCTTAAGCCATGTGGGCCACATTGTCTCTTTCATAGTTATCTGAGTCTGTCATCACAGTACAAAAGCATCCACAGACATGTGAAGAGAGCTGTGGGCGGCTGTGTTCTAATGCACATTGTCTATGGGAACAGGAGGTAAGCCAAGAGTGGCTCATGAATGAACTTGCTCAACTCCCAGCCTAGTGTAGGTCATGAGGCTTAAGCTCTAGGGTATCACATAAATGCTGATTTGGAGACTCATAATTCTCTTTCGCCCTGATAAGAGCTTCGTATTTCCTGATTGTGTAATGTGTTTTATTATCTATCTTAAAAATAGATGATGGACTTCTGAATTACTCAAATAATGGAGAGGAATGGAAACCTATGGGAGAACCCACTTCCAATAGTATGCAGCCTTGATGTTTCATTCATAAATGCCATTTAATACATTGCTTCTATTTCCTTTCAAAAGACATGTGTTGTGGATATTTGATCACACTGTGTGAAAGCCACCTTCTGATTGGTTTAATAAAGAGCTGATTGGCTAATAGCTAGGCAGAAGAGGATAGGTGGGATTTCTGAGCAGAGATAGGAACTCTGGGAAGAATCTGGGAGGTGGGGATTCACCAGAGAGAT